CTTTAAGGGCTACTATAGGGTTTAGGGTTTAGGGCTAGGAGTTTAGGGGCCTTCATAACTAGAATAGGGTTTTGGGCCACATTATCCTATACTTATAATACGGAACCCCCAAAAAAGTATAGCTAATTATTTCGGCCCCTACATTAGGTAACACTGGAGCCTTGCCGTAAGTTAATTGTCACAAGGAGCCCTGAGGAAAACTATTGGCAGGTCCCTCCATACAACCCGAACCCGAACCCCTTTCAAGGAACCCCTGTATTAGGGTTTAGGGTTTAGGGTTTAGGGCTTAGGGTTTAGGGTTTAGGGTTTAGGGTTACCCCTACACCCTGCTGAGGAAGAAGATGGCTACCCTAAACCCTCATCCCTAAACACTTCTCTAGGCTTCTACATTAGCCACCTTCGGCTGCGGCAAGCGCCGTATGGATGTTCCAGAGGAACTCCTGCTGTTCAGGGCTTGGGACTCAGGGCTCAGGGCTTCGGGGGCTTAGGGGGCTTAGGGGTTTAGGGCTTAGGGCTTCAGGGCAAGGGGGTCAGGCTAAACCCTAAACCCTAAACCCTAAAAACCCTAAACCCTAAACCCTAAACCTTAAACCCTAAACCCTAAACCCTAAAAACCCTAAACAATTTCGTCCTCAGGGCTTTGGGGGGTTTGGGCTTTAGGGAGGATCTGGAGTTCAGGGGATCTGGGTTTAGGGTTTAGGGTTTAGGGTTTAGGGTTTAGGGTTTAGGGTTTAGGGTTTTTGACGAAAGGCGCAACGGGTCGGCTCGGGGGCTTTTAGGGCTGTAATGTAGGGGCCTTCAATACTTAGAATGGGGTTCTGGGCTCCTTTATGGTATAAATAGAAAAAGGCCCCCCACCCCCCCCCAAAAAAAAATAGGGGTGGTAAGTATATTTTAACCCCTATATTAGGCTGCTTCTTGGGGTGGCTTTGGAGGATTTGGGGCTTCTCTTTGGAAGCCATGGCACCTGTTTTCAAAGCCTAGAAACCTTCAAACATATTTCGGCGATATTAGTGGTTTTGGTTTTGCGAGGCTAGGATGGGATATCTTCTACCACCACCAATGATCGACCTGTAAGCCTGAAAGCCTCCCTGTGTAAGCTTCAAGAAGCATGGCACTCTTCGGCACTACGGCTTAAGTTTCAGGGTGCATCCGGGGTTGTGGCTCAACTCACGCTACAAAGCAGCCTTGGCGAGATCAGGATATGGACGACTCTTTTTGAGAAGTGGAGCATGCTTGGGTTCAGGATCTTGTTTTTGCCGGGGCTCTAAAGGCCTGAAATGTAGGGGTCTTAATGATTAGAATAGCGTTTTAGGGGGTCCCTACTATAGCTACAGTAGAATATAGCCCAAACCCTTATTCGAATTATCAAGGCCCCTTTATCACAATATATCTCCTCGATGTTTGTCGCAGGCTTGGACACAGAAGCCATGGCGCCGCTTCGCAATGGCTCCTTTGCTGTGGGCCTTGAAACCAAGAACTGTGTTTCTGCACTCTGGACCCTGGGCCCAAACCGCAACCCCAAGAGCCAGCTGGACCATGCAGATTATGGGTGCAGTAGGGTGGCTGCAATAGCTTCGAGGGTGGGTCCTCGACTCCCTTGCATAGACTTGGCGATCTTGTCTCTGCAGAAACCCAAACTCTTCATACTGCCGTCGGTGAAGCAGAAATGCTCTACGAACCCCATGTTCACGGATAGCAGGTCGGAGACATGGTGCCTAAGTGCTAGCTTCAAGTTGTAAACCCTCTCAAGTTGGCTTCTGCACTGCTACACGCTTCCAGCCGAAAACCTGTGTGGAGCCAGGCTTGTGTGTAGTCATACCCATAAACATATGCACATATGCAAAAACAAATAAATAAATAAACACATAAATAAAGATATATATATATATATATATTTGTTTATTTATTTATTTGTACACCCACATACATACATACATACATACATACATACCTACCTACCTACCTACCTACCTACCTACCTACCTACCTACATACATACATACATACATACATACATACATACACACACATACATATACATACACGTACATACATTCATGCAGACATGCATACATATGTGTATGTATGTATGTGTGTATGTATGTATGTATGTATGTATGTATGTACGTATGTATGTATGTACGTATGTATGTATGTACGTATGTATGTATGTATGTACGTAGGTATGCATGTATGTATGTATGTATGTATGTATGTATGTATGTATGTATGTACATGCTTGCTTTTCTGCTTCCTTATTCGTTCATGTGAACAAGCTGCTTATTGATGCTTATATCTGCATATATGTTTACACGTATGTTTATGCTGATACTTTCTGTTGATATTTATATTTGCATGCATGTTAACAAATATGTGTGTATCTATATGTGCATGTACAATTGTACTTACACATCTGTACATTTACGGTTGTTTTGATTGTAGTTGTGGCCATATTCATGTTTACGTTCTAACGTAACATGTGCTTGTCAGTTTACATCTATATTCATATGTATACATAGAGAGAGAGAGAGACAAGCAGAAAGAATGAGAACGAGAGAATACATGTGTATATACATATATATATATATATATGTAAACCTGGTAGTTGCCAGCTAGTTGTATGCTCGGTTGCTACGTCTGCCAAGCGCTGAAGGTCCTGAAAGGATTGAGGCTCCCGGCATCGACAACGGGAAAAACGTCTTGCTCAATCTATTTAGAAGGTGCCAAGTCGCATATCTGCAAAGTTCTCCACACAAAGCCACTTAAGACTCTTCCGGAAGGAGCCGCGGGGCGATGCCAAGATACCTATTTTGACGAAGAAGTGGCGGTGATGGTGGTGATGATGACAATATGAACTGCGATGACGACGGTGTTGGAAATGATGAGCAAGATATACCTGATTCTTGTGAGTATTATCGATGATGGCTGGGACGGTGATGAAGATGATGATCCTGATGATGACGATCATCATCATCATCATGATCATGATCACGAGGAGGAAGATGAGGAAGATTACATGGACAAGGATGACGATGACGATGGCGATGACGATGGCGGTGATGATGGCGATGATGGTGATGATGGTGATGATGGTGATGATGGTGATGATGGTGATGATGGTGATGATGGTGCTGATGGTGATGATGACGGTGATGATGGTGATGATGATGGTGATGATGGTGATGATGGTGATGATGGTGATGATGGTGGTGGTGATGATGATGGTGACGATGACGACATGTGTCGCCTAGCATGTCATACAGACAAGCGACCAAAGGCTCGTTCTCTTGCTGAATGCGTTGAGTGCCGCGAGTTCTTTTTCAAGGCATTCACGACCGAGCAAAATCCTGCGCTGACCTGCAATACCCATATGGGAGTTGCGATGGAACCCTAAACCCTAAACCCTAAACCCTAAACCGTAGCAAGGACCACCATGGCCGACAAACCTTCCTTGGCTTCAGCGCTGCCCGGATGCCCAGCACCTGCGAAGCAAACGAGCTCCGGCCAGCTCAGGCGTGCATGGCGTGCAGGGTTTAGGGTTTAGGGTTTAGGGTTTCAGGTTTAGGCAAACCTGTCTGAGGCTTGGCGCGCCTTTTTGCTGCAAGCTCTCTCTGGTTTGTGGTCATCTCATGACGGATAGAATACTGATCCCCAGAGAGCGAGAGCCGGAAGAATACCACGTGCTGCCATACCAAGAGGCTTTAGGACTTTAGGACCCTGTCAGGTTGCGATGCTTCGACTGGGATGGGGCTCTGCTCAAGCGTGGGGAATCTGTGCGGGGTATTGATTCGCAGCTTTTCAAACAGTGACGCCCTCCACCTGCATGCGAGGTAACATGTTCGCTTTACACACAAGCACCGTTTGCAAGACAGGCGAGAGCATCTCGATTGCAGGTCGTGCTGCGAAGGTCTGCTTGAAGCCCCGATGGCTACAAGCAAAAAGAAGTATGTGCAGGATTAGGCCATCACGGCAGGCGGATCGTTGAATGGCGATGCTTTGCAAAACCCCTCCAGCCTAGCTTAAGCTTTGATGGATGCTCAGAATGTTCAGGGTGCAACGCAGTCTCCAAGACAAAGATCCAACTAAATTCAATGTATCATACTCGTTTATCATCGTTTATTGGAACGCGCAGTTGGTGCACGAGCTCCTGG